AAGTTTCTACATTTTAAACACGACTTCTTTTTTTAAGAACAGTTAATGGTTAGTGTGTCAACCGTCTGTCACAAGAAATCATCTCTGTTGATTTGCTTTTCTTAGCAATCCATGGTGGTGCCACCAACCCCTCTTCACACTACCCGAGTCCTGCAAGAAGACAAAGACCACTGGGATGAAGTGAAGGTAACGTTTGTGTGTAGAGTTGGGTGGAGATGCTTCTTTTTATGGATAGTTGAAAAAATGATGTTCTCTCCAATTGTTTATAACCCCAAGTAGCGTGAACATACCTTCAACTCATTATTTTTTTTGCACAATGGTTGCTAAAACATATGCAGATAATTGATTGAGAGAATTACTAGTTAGGCACAGAAGGACAAGCAGGGTTTAGTGGTAGGGTGGGTGTTTATTTTTTTATATAAACTTTAGCAAAAATAGGCCCGCAGTGGCTAAAAGCCAGGAGTTTTACTTTAATTTTTCTTTAGTATGCTTTTTCAAGGAAGTTTGGAGGTTTGTTTTTTTTTAAATAAATGTGCTAGATCTGTCTAAATACTTATACTCTTAAAAAAAAATCTTCTGTTCTTTGGAAAATAATGGAAAAATTGTACCGTTGATGTTTTTCCAAAAGTTCTGGGGGGGGGCTACAACAAAAGCATGTATATCACTTGTGAGGTATCCACCGTGATTCACTCAGATCCAACAAGAATAGGTAGCTTGGTCTTTCAGATGTTTTGGACTTTCAGTACCCACTTCACTCTGTCACGAGTGTTTTCTGGAAGTTTTCCAATGCCAGGTTGCCTTTGACATAGGAAAACATTAAATTCCAGATACACATGGACAGCCTTAAAATATATTACTTTGCTGAATGTTCCTTATAGGATTCACTAATATGGGATATTTAATCCTACATATAAATTTTTTATTCATTACGATCTACTACATCTGGTATATAACTTTTGTGGGGGAAACTCTATAGTTGTTACTCTTGGCTGAGATCCTTCCTTCTGTAGATAATAACAGAAGATGGGACTTTTTTTCCTTTAAATTTCACTATTACTTCTTGTGTATTTTAGGAGGAAATGACTAGCGCTTTGGCAACCATGAGAGTAGACTATGATCAGGTAAAAATTAAAGATTTGAAAATATCCAACAATCGACTCCTCAACAAACGGCGTAAGAAACAAAAACAAGGAGGCAGCTCAACTGCATCAGCTGGCTGCAACAACCAATAAAGATGAGAGAAATAAAATGAAATTATGAATTGAACTGAAATAATCTCACGCACAACTGAAACACAAAAAAGTGTGTGATAAGAACTTTTTATTTCAACGCACTGGGGTTTTTTTCTACGAATTCGTTTTTTAATCATTCTATTACATTTTAGTATACTTTACCTAAGGAGCTGCAACAAACCTTCTATCAGTGAAGTTTGGATAAATAAATATTTCTTGTGGTAATGCGGGTTCAGTGCTCACAAAAGCACAGTCACAACAAGAAAATCTAAATCCCTTTTTTCATATAAAGCAATTAGAGCATCCATCTGCTTAACTCTCAGATGAATTCATAAGGACATAAACGTGCTTAATTTAGACTGGATTATGCTGAATCCATTCAAGAAATAGATTAAACCATGCATAAAACAAAGGAGTAAAAAGATCAGGTTATTACAAGAAGCAATCAGAAAGTTATGAAAAAGTAAGTTTTTCATATATTTGTTTGATTTTCATTGTTCATTTCAATTGTATTTAATGTTCTTACCGGGTTAATGCTCTTATTTTATACACTGTCCATCTGTATAAGGAAGCATTGCTTTTTAGTCTTTGGGAAATATTTACAATGTCAGGCTTAAGGTATTATTACAAGCTTGTTTCCATGCACACAAATTTCTTACATTCAGATCAGTGTAGGTAAGAGCAGTGTAAATTAGTCATACATGGTGTGGGCGCACTTTTTTTTTTAAATGCAGGAAACTTTCACTGGCTGCCTTGTAGGATCCTTGTAGAAAAACAGATATGAATGCAGTTGCTACATTTTACGATTTAGATGTTCCATTTCCTTGTTTATATATAGGCCATAATTTATTATCACAGATTTTTTTCAACTGTTTATTTTTTAAATTAGATATCAAAGATTAATAAACCAAAATATCATTATGTCAGCATCCACAACTTTGCACAAAGATTTTAGTTGAAATTTTACACAGTTCAGAAGGAAATGATTCCCAGGTGCATTACGATTTTTACTAAAAGAACCATGATAGGCAGGCAGAACAGGTAAAAGGCACCCTTTTTACATTCTTTTCCAGCGGTAGAAAGCTTCAAGTGGTCTGGGGTTGACATGGTGGCATCTTCAGAGAGGACAGAGGCAGAATTATTGCCCTCCCTCCCCTTCTTGTGATGTTATTTTTAAAGGCATATTAAACCAATTGGGCCTACTTCACCTATTTTATTTATATTCCTTTTATTTAGCTATTGATGAATTTCCATGAGAAATCTTGGGAAACTACCAGAAAATAAATGGTTACAACTGCAGCTTCCCTGAGATAGGGTATTAGTTTGCCTATTCTGTGAACTGGGTGATTGATATAGCACTTTTCATGTACTGTCCACATGTAAAAAGTTTAAAACATAGGCACATGCCCCGAGTGCTTCTAAATTCAAAGAGGAAATTTGCAAACTTGACATATATGAATATGTATGTTACCACAGTTGTTTTTACATATCATATATATTATTTCTTAATACCCTGTAGATTAGGGTAGATGGGATAACAAAAAATGAAGTCACTCAAGCAATTTTTCTGGGTTTTTTTGGGGAGAGTTTAGATATTTCAGTACGGCGATATATGCACCAAGAAGAGAAGGTCTCAAAACGGGTGGATTGTCACACAATATCTCATAATAACCTTGTCCTATGAAACCTGCCTTACATACCAATTATCTTTATTCAAATCATTTCATTGTCCAAACATTTTCTTTCAAAAGGGATACTCCTGACTATTTTCCACACATGCAAATGTCCCTGGCCCTCTAGGAAGGAGGTGAGAACAGATCCATCTCTCTCTCTGAGCTTTCATTTGTGCTACTGTTTTTGAGATGCTAACAAACGGCAGGTGCTTGTTTATGTTACTTCTCATTTCTAACACTCACTGCAGGAAAGAGAAATCCTTTGATGGCCTCCATGTTTGTCAGAGGGCTCAAGGGGGAGATGAAGTCTTCTCCTAATTGTACTTGTAAGATGATAAATAATTGCAGATGAATTGTTTTGTTCCTTACATTCTCCAAACCAAGTCTGCTGCACAAGCCAGGAGACCAGAGATGGAGGAAGAAAATTTGTGGCTGTTAAACCAAAAAGCATTGGTGACTTTGTATTGTATCCTTATTCTAGAATTATAAGGATTAATCTGCAATGAAGTAAATTTCTATTAATTACATAGGTGCCTCTCTTTGATTTGCAAGTATATTAAATTGATGTTAAAAGCACTCCAGACTCTTTGTGAAATGCTAACATTTTGCAGATGTTAATAAAATGGTGCTTTACCCATTTTTTTCTTAAATGGACCTCGCTCTTTTAATAAATCTTCCTTTGTGATATTTTACTTTCAGTTCTAGGATGACAGATTTCTTCTCTTTTCTCTCCTTCAAAGAATGTGAAGCAAACTTAATCTGAAGGCATCATTTTTGTCCATGTGTTACTTGTTTTAATATTCAATTTAACTAAATTTAGAGCAACTGTAAGTTAGCAGTAGTCACTAGGTGGCAGCACTTAGCCCAACCTTGGCTGCTCTTAAAAAATAAACATGGTTGGATCTGGTTAGTACTTGAATCACCAGGGCTAGAGGATAGGTTTGAAAATTGAAAAAAAAAAGCCTATCAGAAGAAGGCAGTGACAAACATTTTGGAAATAATAATAATATAATAATAATAATAGTAAAGTTGGAAGGGACCTTGAAGGTCATCTAGTCCAACCCCCTGCTCAGGCAGGAAACCCTATACCATTTTGGACAAATGGTTGTCCAGTCTCTTCTTAAAAACTTCCAGTGTTGGAGCATTCACCGCTTCTGGAGGCAGGTTGTTCCACTGGTTAATTGTTCTCACTGTCAGGAAGTTTCTC